CCCCAAAACCCCAAAACCCCAAAACCCCAAAACCCCAGAAAATGATATAATAATTGAAAGTTATGACAACTGGAGGGTTGTTGAGAAACCTACAAGATGGTAGGTTCAAGCGTTAATTTATAGACACAGAAGGAGGAATTCCTGCACAAAACACAGGATGAAAAGTAGAGTGTGAGTTTTGTTGCAAGTAGCCAAGTATGAGCATCTCGCACAGGTATTTTATTGTATAATTATTTAGAATGCAATCAGACTTTATTAATATTCCTTATAATCCTTGGCTGCTTGCTCTTTATATTTTCAGTAGCTCTTCTAATAAAATGAATTTTCTCCCACACTAAAGTAAAATCTCTGCTCTCGCAGTGGTTTGAACTGAGTAAGTTTTAGCCTGAAATAACTTATAGGGAAATAATGAAGAAGAAATTAAAGGTAATTTAACAATTTAAGTTTAGAAATGGACAAACCTGATGAGCCCGACCAGGTTGGGTTCACCTTCGATGACCAGAATTCTATACTAAATAACAGTTTTTACTCTCTTCGAGAAAATGGATTTCGATCTTATCAAGCCCCATCTCGGTTAGATTACTCTAAATATACAAATTTCAAGGGGAAATAAGGTTAATTATGAAGAACTCAAACTTAATAGAAGTAAGTTTTGAGTTATTTTAATTTAAATCAGACTCATTAATTTAGTGCCTCCTGCAGAGCCTGACTTCATGGAGGTAAATTCGAACAATCTCGTCCGAAAATAAGAACTCTAAGAAGGTAAAGAGAGCCCGAAGGGCTAAGAAAATCCCATCTGATCACAGTACGTTCTCCTCCCTATTCTCCCTCTTTCTAGTAATTGATGAGCGGAAGCAAAGCAGCGAGGAGAGTGAGAAACTTGAAAAGATCAAGGTCTTCGAACTCCCTGATAATTATGAGAAGAAGAAAAGGAAGCGGAATAGTGGCTCTATTCATCTCGATTCTGAAAATTTAGACTTCAGCAGGTACTTTTGTCCCATATTTTAGTGAGCATAACATCTCCAAAGAAAATCTTCCTTCTGGTCTTGAAAGAGAATTTGTAGATGGTAAGACCGCCCAGCTGATCTCTATAGACTCTAAAGAGAACGGTGAAGTATGGAATCTGTTCATATCATAGAGCTTGATGATCGGAAATCAAGGAAAGATTGCAAAAAGGTAACAATTTTTATTCCATGATTGCCCAGATATTTCAAAAGTGCTTTTAAATCTCGGGGTTTTGGGGTTTTGGGGTTTTGGGGTTTTGGGG